TGGGGGAGCTGGGGGTGTTCAGCCTGGAGAAGAGGAGGCTGAGGGGAGCCCTTATCGCTCCCTACAACTGCCTGACAGGGAGGGGGAGCTGGGCTCTGCTACCAGGGAACGGGTGATGGGACAAGGGGAAATGGCCTCAAGTTGTGCCAGGGAAGATTTAGGTTGGACATTGGGAAAAATTCCTTCTCCGAAAGGGCTGTCAAGCACTGCAAGGGGCTGCCCAGGGAAGGCGTCGAGTCCCCATCCCTGGGGGTATTTAAAAGCCAGCTAGACGAGGTGCTTAGGGCCAGGGTTTAGTGGTGGGATGGCAGGGTTAGGGGAATGGTCGGGCTTGATGAGCTTTAAGGGCTTTTCCGACCAAATGATCACGATGAAGTTTGTGACGTGCAGATTATGTCAATTTTCCAGTAGCCAAGCGGGCAGGGGAAGAGCACCGTCCCAACACAGGGCAGCACAGCAAACTGCAGAGGAGGCTCAGCCATGAGGAGCTGCTGTGGGGCTGGGTCTTGCTTCACTCACCCAGCACTGGGGACCAGGCAGGAGCCACGGCACAGCTTGGCAGTGCCCCTCTGTCCTGCAGGGCTGGGCTGCGGTGCTGGCCTCACCTGTGAATGCGCGGATGCTTGCCTTCCTCCAAGAGGGCCGGGCAGTGAAAGGCAAATTGGGGGAATTGAGTCTCTTTTCCCCCCACTCCCCATATTTTCCTTCATCGCGGGTGTTGGGTTTTGGTATTTGGTCAGCTCTAGGATGTTCCCCGTTTTCTCCTGTCCACCTTCTGAGTGAGGTGTTGCCTGCTACTTTCAGTTGCCTCATTAGCCTGGATCTTGTCCTTTTTCCTACACGGTGGTGGGAATTTCCCTAGCTGGGAAGAGAGTTCTGGGCCAAGTGTATGTAATACCCGGGAGAAGGTGCCAGAGCTCTCGACCATTCCCGCTTTCCTCTCGGTGACTTCATTCTGCTTTCTGCTTATGAAACTGCTGCCCATGGAGTAAGAAGAGCCCGGTGTACAGCACTGACGGCAGGTAATTCTGTGTTTCTATGCATCGTGTAAACCTGTGTTTTTTGCCACAATTGCAAGTCCTGGAAATTTTGTATAGATTTGAACACCTTGAAAACCAACCCAATGGAAGATTGAGTAACGTGGAATTATTGGTTGTTAACCGCGGTTTTTAAAATTAAACCACTAGAGATTCTATTTAAAATAACCACCTATTTTCTTACTTTAAAAGGTTTTTTTTTTAAAAAATAAACCTTAACTAAAAATGAAATCATTAAAAAAACCCCTAATTATGGTTGCCTGGCAGTCCACTTCCTTTCCTTCAGAAATCTAGGGGAATAATTACTTGGTAAAATGGTTGGGCTTGCTCACCTTAAAGGTCTTTTCCAGCCTAAACGGCTCTATGATTCTATGATTCACTTTTTTTTTTAATTTATTTAGTATGTTTGCATGAAAGCAGGCTTAACAGTAGCGGGGATGCGCGTCCTTTCACGGGTTCACAGCGCAGAACGTCGCAGCTGGTGAGGGCGCAGCCGGTGGCAACGCAAGCGCCCCGCGTCCCCAGTCCAAGGGGAACCCCGCTTGCTCCTCGGACCCTCCCCTCCCTCGGCCTGGTCCGGTGCCGGGTGTCGGTGCTGATGGACCAGGAGGCCAACACTCATGGGACGGGTCACGAACCCCTGGGAACGACGAAAGAACCCCAAACAAAGCAGCACCCGCCAGCCCCGGCGGCAGGGGCTGGGTGCGGCACGATCGGGCGCGGGGGACGCCGGCTCAGGCTCTGCGATGCAAAACGAGGAGGGGGATGAA